CAGGAAAGGGCTTCTGGTTTAGCATGAGATGTGATGAGCCGAGCAGAATCATCCCGTTGTCTAGGAAGCCATGCAGCAGCAAAACCGGGACAAAGGCCCTCCTCACTGCAGGAGAGATCATGGAGACATCCCCCCCCGAAATGTGCCTGGAACCTGTACATGACCCAGGCCACAAGCCTTACCTGGACCCCACACTGGCCTGTGTTCCAATATTCGTATATTCTGGAAGTCCAGGTAGACACTCCTTTTACTCGACGCCTCAACCCTAAACCCTAACCCTAAACCGCAAGCACCAGCCCTGCCTGGCAAAACTTCTTCTTGCGACTGACTGCATCGGCTCGCTCATTGGAAATCTCGTCACAGGATTCTGCCCAGGATGCGAGCAAACTATGGAGGTTAGGAAGGGGGAGGGTCAAACTACGAAAATCCTGAAGAACCCTTCTGCGACGGCGCAGAAATCCTAAACGAAGTTGCAGTTTATTGCAGAAACATTCAACAATTTCATCATCAACCCTCCACCCGGGTCTACGTGTCTGTGCCCATAGAGCACAATAGATACCGCAAACGCATCTCAAATTGTCCTGTTTGAGATGGGGGGGGGGGATCCTCAAAATCATGGGCACTTTGTTTTTGCGGGGGGGATGTGATTGGATGTGATTGTCTGTTGCTCAAGCCAGCTAAGGCTAAAAATAGCAGGGCTCAGGCCCTGAGACGGGGCTTTCTCTTACTTCTCTCTCCAAACCAAAAAAAGGAAACCCAAAAAGTCTAAATTTCAACTATTGGCTAAGGAAGTTCTTGAGACTCATCTCTTTTGAGGGCAGTTTTGGTTGCGGTGCAGCTTACCGCCCACATCCGGACCTTGTCCAGGCTATATGGGGTTGACGAAATAGGGGACCCCTAAACTAGACCCCAAATAATAAGGTTCCCTAAAAATCAGGACCTCCAAAAGGTATGCCGAATTTCGGAAACCCCCCATATCTTCCAAGGGATTCATGCTACCCGCCATTTAATTTGAGCGTGAGGGGTTGAAGGTCTGGGGTCTACTTAACCCTAAACCCTAAACCCTAAGCCCGATGAACCTTAGTATAGGGTCTTGGGTTAGAGGCTAGAGTCTTCGGCTTATAGATCTAGAGTTTAGGGTCCTGGGTTTGAAAAAGATCTACATAGTGTGTTTAGTCCGTAGGTTCAAAATACCCGAGGAACCTTCCAGCACATGTAAAGAACCCTAAGCCCTAAACCGCTAATAACAGTCCGCCCGATTGGGTGAGGTTGGGACCATGATGGACAACCTGCCAGCTGGACATGACAGCTTGCCGTTTACGGCTGAGGGGTCCCAACCTCACCCAATCGTTTTGGCTCGGGGAACAATGAGCGGAGCCTCTGCAAGTCAGCTGCTGCCAGATCGATCTGCACCATGCCGCGGTTGTGGGGGTGGAGCTTGTTACGTAGCCCGCAGTGGTCCAGCAGGTTGCGTACCGAAGCCCGCACGTCTGTCGTGTCCCATGCCCGCCGCGATTTTCCCCAGCCAGTAATTATTTCAAACGATGTTTCATCCTCGCCTCTGCCTAGCTTGTCTGGTACGATGTTGGCCAGCCACCAAAGCACGGCCAGCATAGCTGAACCAGGGGAGTGGTCGTGAAGGTCAATCAGGGCTCCGTTCTTTCGCAACATCTCTGGCCAGGCTTGGTTCATCAACGCCTGTCGGAACAGATGAAAACCTGCGCTCTGTGTGTAAACTGCATCCAACACTTGGACGTAAGAAGCCGTGTCAGGCTTCAGTGTTTGTGCATTCATCGACGAAAACAGTGACAAGCCGAGCTCCCAGAGGCGGGCTGAACCACTTGCACAGATAGCAGAACTGAAGCTGATTTTGTCAGGCACCACTCTTGCCATGGACATCTGCGAAAGCAAATGCAGAGCCATCTGCCATTCACCACCCTTCTCACATGCGCTGATGCCGGCATTGAAGCTAATGTTGTCTGGCACCACTCTTGCCATGGGCATCTGCGAAAGCACATGCAGAGCCGTTTGCCACTCACTGCCCTTCTCACAGGCGCTGATGCCAGCATTGAAGCTGATCTTGTCTGGTAACACCCTTGCCATGGGCATCTTCGAAAGCAAATGCAGCGCCATCTGCCACACACTGCTCTTCTCGCATGCGCTTATGCCGGCGTTGAAACTGATCTTGTCTGGCAACACGCTTGCCATGGGCATCTGCGAAAGCAACAGCAGAGCCATCTGCCACTCACCACCCTTCTCACATGCGCTGATGCAGGCACTGAAACTGATCTCGTTTGGCACCACTCTGACCGTTGGCATCTGCGAAAGCAAATGCAGAGCCACTTGCCACTCACCACCCTTCTCACAGGCGCTGATGCCTGCACTGAAGCTGACTGCGTCCGGCAGCACCCTTGCCACGGGCATCTGCGCAAGTAGTTGCAGAGCCATTCGCCACACACCACCCTTCTCACAGGCGCTGATGCCGGCGTTGAAGTTGATTTCGTCTGGCGACACCATTGCCATGGGCATCTGCGAAAGCACATGCAGCGCCATCTGCCACTCACCACTCTTCTCACATGCGCTGATGCCGGCACTGAAGCTGATCTCGTTTGGCACCACTCGGGCTGTCGGCATCTGCGACAACAAATGCAGGGCCACCTGCCATTCACCGCCTTTCTCACAGGCGCTGATGGCAGAACTGAAGCTGAACACGTTTGGATCAACTCGCAAGGATATCATGTCAGAGAGAAGTTGCAGCGCAAGCTGCCACTGAAAGCCTTTCTCACATGCCGTGATGGCAGCGCTGAAAGTGAAGACGTCGGGCCGCACCTCGGCCACTGTGATCTCTGCAAGAACTTGGATTGCAACCTGCCACTGCTTGGCACGCGAGCAGCCCACGATGACTTTGGAGAGCGCCTTCTGATCCCTTTCTCTTGGCGGCGTGTCTTGAAGCACATGGACTGCAAGCTGCCAGTCTTGCGTTCGACAAGCTCCCTGAAGCAAAGATGAGAGTGGCCCATGACTCGTCGCTGCAACCTGGCTTGCTGTTGCATCTGGCGGCCCCATGGCCTGACTGTTATAGTGAAAAGGGTGCCTTGCACAGGTGCGTGATTCGCACGTTTGTGGCCGTCCTCCATACATGATACGAGTTGAGATTCGGCGCTTCGGCCTTCGCTCTTGCAGTTTCGGATCTGTCCATCCACCTGCCTATGCAAATTTGATCCTGCGCCCAATTACGTTCAAAGGCCTCCTTGAAACACTCAAAACTATACTTGCAAGGTTCATGCGTCAAAGATATACTTGAAGGTTCATGTGTACGTAGAAGTAGGTTGCAAGTACACTAAAACAGGTTATAACCATCGTTACACTACTTGTGACCCTACTTAGAAGTGCTCTAAACCCTAAACCCTAAACCCTAAACCCTAAACCCTAAACCCTAAACCCTAAACCCTAAACCCTAAACCCTAAACCCTAAACCCCATAAACGTCCAAGTGAATCCTTCCAAGTTCTCCACACGATATACACAGCTTAGACCCTATTTTGGTTGTGAGGGTTGAGTGTTTAGGGTTTAGGTACAGGTTTAGGGGTTTTGGGGAGTTTTGGGGTTAAGGTTTTGTGTTTAGAGTTTTGGGTTTGAGGGCTTAGGGTATATAAAAACTAGGTTTAGGGTAAACTCCTGAAACCCGGAAACCTTAACCACAAGGCCTTGAAGTCCACTGCCCTTTAGAGTCTCATGGGTTTAGGGTTTACTGGGTTTAGGCTTCCTCCGAGTTGTGCAGTATCTCTGATGAAAAGCCCTAAACCCTAAACCCTAAACCCTAAACCCAAAACCCCAAAACCCTAAGCTCAGGCTTACAGGTAGGCCTCAAGCAGCTCGGACTGGATTGGGGCGTGGGGAGGGGAGGGAAACTGTTGGGCCGTAACCCCAAAGCCGCCCATCCTGGAGCCTGAAACATCTTCAGGTCATCCTGTACCCCCCAGTCATACTCCAAGTACATACGGGAACCCCAAACCCCAAATCCTAAACCCAAACCCTAAAGCCAGCCTGAACCCTGCAGCTCAAAGCCCTGACAGACCTGCCTCCTTCCTCCCAGCACTTCTTCGCGCTGTTCCAATGATACGACACCTGCACGTAGGGTTCAGGGGTTAGGGGTTAGGGATTGGGGGTTAGGGTTTAGGGTTTAGTGTTTAGGGTTTAGGGCATCGTTCCCCGTCCAAGTAGTCCTTCTTGAGCTCTCTGTTCTAGAAGATAGAAGGAACCCTTAGGCACATGGGCACCAGGGACTTGCGCGAGGTTGCATGAGTTGGCCCGAGACCTAATGCCCTGTAGCTTCCCCAGCCATCTCGGAATAAAGAAGGCAACAGAACCCGTTCTTGTGGAAATGGGGGTAGCCCAGTCAAAAATCAAGCAGACCTCAGGTTTTAACACCTTGTCCCTGTACACCCGGATGCCTCCCGAAAGCACAAACAATCACTACAACCGTTTGGCAATACTCAGAAACCCAGCAAAAACACACACAAAGAGAGAATGCGCGCAAGGCATTCCCTGATTAAGGCTTGTTGTGGGCTTATTTGGGCTGGTTTGGGCCTGATGGGTGACTCCCTGACCCCAATCCATGCATGTTGCATCCGTGAGTGGGGAAGTAGCTTGGAGGTTCGTGAGTAGATATAAAACAGGGTTGTAAAGTAGGGTAACTATGGTTCGAACCGTCTTTACGGTACTCAAAACCCTACTCTTAAGTACCCCTGAACCTTCAAGTAGCTTGCAAGAAAGGCACTGCGCTCATTCCAGCCAATCAAACAGAAGCGATCGCCGCCGAGCTGAATTCACCATCTCCCGGTGAGTTCAAGGCTCCAGGTTTCATGTCTTTAGTTCCCTCTATTACATATGGGAGGTGTCCTAAATTAGGGGCGCCCCTTTGCTACCTCTGGGTGTCCTTGACGAAGAGTTGAAGCCTAAATGGCTTAAAGAGCCCTCCCCGGTTACCAACACATGCACCTAGAGCGCAAAGGGGTGGGGAGGCTTGCAGAGGCATTCTCTCTGCCTTCCACGCAGTTTCGGCCCTGAGCGCAAGAAGTTGCAAGCGCTGATAGCAGCATTGAAGCTGATCTCGCTCACCTGCGCGGTCTCCATGTTGTACAGAAGGCAGAGTGCATCCTTCCAGCGTCCGGCCTCGTCGCAAGCACTGATACCCGTGTTGAAGCTTATGGTGGTTAGCTCGAGTCCAGCTATAGACGCGGCAGACAACATCTGAAGCGCCCGGGTCCACTCCACAGCCCTGCACGCAGCAAGCATCCCGGTGCTGAAGATGATCTCACTTGGCAAAAGCTGTGCCCGCCGCATGTGATCTAAAAAAGGGCTCAAGGCTGCTTGCCATTGACCTTGCGCTGCGAAGGCGCTGATGACCGCGCTGTAGGTGACGAGATTGGGTTGGGCTTCCGAGGCAGACATGTCGTAGAAGAACTGCGAGGCGAGGTGCCACATACCTGTGGGGTTTACGAATGTTCGGGGGTACCTTATCGGGGTCCTCATGGTAAGGGAGTCCTATACTATTTGGGGGGTCCCCCCCCCCCCTGGCCCCATTTGCGTAAACCCCCCTCCACCTCGGTTGCCGGCCGCGCTGATGGCGGCGCTGGCGCTCACGACATCGGCCCTGAGCCCGGCCGACATCGAAAGCCCAAGGGCCGATTCCCACCGCAAGCACTTCTCACAGGCGCTGACGCTGGTGCTGAAGCTGATCGCATCTGGAACCGGGCTTGTAGCAGACATTCCTGAGAGCAAGGTGAGTGCTGCGCTCCACTCTCTGCCCACTTCGCAAGCAGCAATTGCAGAATTGAAGCAAACAGCATTGGGCCGGGTCAGAGCACCAGCCATGTTGCTGAGGTGTTGAAGTGCCACTTGCCAGAGACCTCCCTTGGAACAGGCGCTGATTGCAGCACCGAAGCAGATTTCGTTTAGCTTGGCCAAAGAATCACGGAGTTCCATGAAGAGGTGGAGTGCCCTCTGCCACTGAGAGCCCTTCTCACAGCAAGCCATGACAGTTGTAATGCAAGCGAGGTCGACCCTAGTTGTGCCTTGCGTGAGATCTGAGAGCAGCTGTAGAGCAAGCCTCCACTGGAGATCTGCGCCATCGAGCCCACATGCAGACACCGCAAGACTCAGCATGCCTGCCGTGACAGGTACTTTGGCCGCCGCCAGGTCCACAAGCACCCTGCAGGATGTTTGCCAAAGCCCGCAGTCGGAATATGTGCGCATGATATTTGTGAAGCTGGAGCTGTCCGGTACAACTTGTACCGCTCGCATGTCTGGCAGTTGCTGTAAGACTATTTTCCACTGGCCAGCAAGGCTCATGGACGTCGCAATGACGTTGAAGGTGATGACGTTCGACAAGATCGCAACCCGTGCCATGTGCAGCAGCAAGCCCAGGGTTTCCTGCCAAGCTTCGCCCTGTGTGCTCCCAAGTGTAGACGTGCTGCTCACGATGTCTGGATAAAGCCTTCGTGTGGGCATGCTGGCCAACATGCTGAAGACCTGCTCCCAGCGCCCGGCCTTCTGAGAAGCGCCGAGGGCAGCGTTGATGCTGATCGTGTCCGGTGAGACGTGTGCCGCATGCATGCGTCGGGTCAAGTACACTGCAAAATGCCAGAGGCTTGCACATCCCGCTGCAGAGATGGCGGTGTTGAAAGAAACTGCATCTGGGAGCAGTTTGTCAGCAGGCACCTGTAAGAGCAAGTCAAGCACAGCCGGCCATTGTCCAGCACTTCCGCATGCATTCAAGGCTGCGTTCATGGTGATGGTCGTAGGTCGGATGCTGCCCAGTTGCATGTCGGAGAGCAGCTCTAGGGCACCTTGCCAGTCACCAAGCTTAACAGAGCTGATGGCTGCATTGATGCAGATTGTGCTGGGCGTCAAAGCGAATGTCAACATGCTAGAGAGAAGCTGTAGCGCTTCTGGCCACCTCTTCTCCGTGCTGATGGCTGCCCCAAAGCTGACGTAGTTGGCCTGTGTTCTCGCCTGGCGCATTTGACTGAACAACCACAGAGCAGCCGGCCAGTTCCCTGCTTTGCCCACGGTGCTGATAGACGCGGAGACACTGACAACGCTTGGTGCAGCTTCCGATCTGTAGAGCTCCTGAAGTCCTTTCTGCCAGGCAGATCTTGACCCCTTGTCGCCGTGTGTCGGACGCATTTCTGACGAGCTGCTCGGGCTTGAAGCCCACCCGACTCCCTGGCCACATTAGGTCCCCCGGCATGCCAGCCTCTTACACGTCCTGTCATGTGACCATGGCATTGGGGCATGTTCTGGGGCCGGCGCACGTGGCTCTGAGATTGCGCCTTCCTGCTGGCGGTCTCGACGTTGAAGCCCTCACCGCCTCAAAGCCTGCATGACCTCTATCTGTCTACATCTTGTCTTGATGTATACTTACATTTGCATGAATGGACACTGTCGGCAGTAAGCTTTCTTTCTGGTGCCCTGTTAAGTAAAGAGCACTCTGCAAAGGCAGATTCAAACTCTCTGGGATCGTGTGTCAGCCCATCCCAAGACCCTACCTAGATTCGTAGACTTGGCCCGAGCCACGAGGTCCAAGCACGTGAAGACCAAGCTTCATGGCAGGGTTCCTGAAAGTATCACATGGAGTCATCGTTGGCCCAGTGAATTATTAGAATGTGCAAGTTGAGTGGTTCTAGTATGCATACTTAGGCAGGGCTCATTTAAAACGGGCAGTATGGATGAGCCTTCAAGCTCTTGTAGACTGGTCGCAACCTTATGTAGACAAGCAATAGTTGGAAACGCGACTTGCTCACACCAAGTGTGTGCGCTTCACCCGGCTTCCAGGACTCAGGCTAGACCATGAAGGAGCTGGGTTTAGGGTTAGGGCTTAGGGTTTAGGGGTCTCGGGTTTAGAGGTTTATAGGGTTTAGGGGGTTCAGGGGCTCATCGCACGGGACAAACGCCCTGGATTCTCGGAGGCTCTTTGCCCGACACCATCAACCCCCACAGCCCCTGTCACCCAAATCTGAACCTGCAGTCGAAACCCAAACCCAAACTCCAAAGCCCTAAGACCCGAACTCTTGAACCCCCAACCGCCCCCCCTAAACCCTAAACCCAAAAACCCTAAACCCTAAACCCTAAACCCTAAACCCTAAACCCTAAACCCTAAACCCTAAACCCTAAACCCTAAACCCGAAAAGAAACCCGAAGCCCCGTGGGCTTGGGAGACCTTGTCAGGATGGTCGAAGTCCCAGAGACACCAAGCTCCACAGTGGTGGTACCTCAGACAGGGTCTAGGGTTTAGGGTTTAGGGTTTAGGGTTTAGGGTTTAGGGTTTAGGGTTTAGGGTTTAGGGTTTAGGGTTTAGGGTTTAGGGATGACGGCGGAGTAGCTTAGGGCTGAGGGTTCCGGGTGCAGCGTTTCGTTTCTCAGAGTTTCGAGCACTCCACTGCTTTGAAGCTTCAAGGCTGGGATGCTCCCCCGTATTGTAATCCCTACTAAGGACTGCTAGAAATAGGGGGATCCTCCCCCAACTTCAAGGCAAGCAGCATCTTGTTGGCAAGGGCCTTGTGGACCTGCGGATGGTGCGTTGACTTTAATGAAATCTAAGGGTAGTTTCATGGTCCCTTAGTATGGGCGCTTGAAAGGGCACCCCTTATATACCCTATACAAAGTAGATGCCCTTACCTTTAAAGGAGGTTAGGGGCCAAACAAAGGGCCCATGAAACGACCCCCAGGTTAAAGGAGACCACCAACCCCTTGACCTCTTCCACATGGTGCCAACATTTGCCAGTTTCTAGGGTTTAGGGTTTAGGCTTCGCCCTTCGTTGGAGTAGACCCTGGGAATAAAGTAAAAACGGCTTCAGGTATAAGTAGCTATAGAGCCAGAACCAACAAAAGGCACCAAAGTATAGTACTCCAAAACCCAGTTAAGAAGGCATGCTTTCAAAAACCGATTTCAGGTTTAAGGCTTACTCCCCCCTCTTCTCCCCTTCCGCCCTTCCTTGCCCCCCCGGCCCCCCCTCCCCCGCTCCTCTCTGTATTTCACCCTCCCCCCCCCTTTCCCCCCCACGACCCGAAAACCCTAAACCCTAAACCCTCCGCCCTCTCCCATCCAAGGGAGCAAGGAAGAAGGGTTCGGCCTTCCAGGTGTTGGCGCTGTTGCATGCCTTTCGGGGGCGGCTTAGTTCATGCGGATTCATGCGTGCTTAGAAGTGGGGGGATAAGTAGGGCAACTGGTGTTATATCCTTTTTTGCGCTGTTTATAAGTACAAGTACCCATGAACCTGAAAGTAGAGGCCCTTGGAGAGCGATGTGATGCTTCAAACGACCGGCCGGGATTCAGAACACAGTCTTTGCAGTCGGTGCTTGGGGTTTAGGAGTTTAGGGTTTAAGGGTACGGGTTTAATTAGGGTTTAAGGGTACCGGTTTAGGGTTTAAGGCCCCCTAAACCCTAAACCCTAAACCCTAAACCCTAAGCCGTAAACCCTAAACCCTAAACCCTAAACCCTAAACCCTAAAGGGTGCTCTGCGTAGGTTGGCCGGCATCAGCTGTGGAGCTAGACGCGATGCAGTTAGCGCCCACAGTCGGACTTGTTGTCAAACTTCTAGTTCCCCGGAGACTCCAGTTTCCCTTGATTCAGGAAGACTCCTCAAAGGTTAATTGGGTTCCCTATATGGTTTAAGGAATATTCTTTAATTAAGGGGTCTTGGAGCCTTTGGGTACATCTTACCGACATGGACACATGGCTTCGTGCAGCGACGCGGATGCTTGCTACAAGGTTCAGCCTGTACCCCAAGGCCCCAGGCCAGGGGGGACCCGGACCCCTCGCCGCAGCAAGGACCATAGGGCCTCTGGCCGGCGGGTGCTCAAAACGTCCAATTTTCCTCAAAAACGCGCTGGGAGCAATTGTCCTGAGGTTAGGCCTAAGCTCTAGAAGGAATAAGTTAGGGTGGCTTCTTTTAGATGGCCTTCCACAATCGGGCCAGAGCTGCCCTTCGCACCCGACGAGGCTTTCGAGCCTCTGCTGCATCCTAACCTTCACAGCATCTACGCCCAGTAACAGCAAACCCTAACCCCAAAGCCAAACCCTAACCCCAAAGCCCAAACCCCAAACCGCGAGCTCTTCACTCAAAAAACACGCTTAGAAGTGGGAGGCCGTCCAAAACGCCCCTCAAGCCCGACATGAGCACCGCGAACTCCATCGTCCCCTACGGGGCGCCCCCCTCTCCCACCCGTCCCCCCGCCAACGTCCCAGCCCGCCTTGGCGTTGTGGCTGCGATCCTCGCCGTTGTTACTCAGGCTGGGACCTGGATGCCCCAAGCATGGGTTGAGGAATTTAAGGGTTTCAGGGCTTAGGGTTTAGGTAACGACACCTGCCTAAAGCCTTTGGGGGCCGGCGGCAGTCGGCGCCTAAAGCTAAACCCTAAACCCTAAACCCTAATGCACGTCCAGCTTTACACAGCTTTCATGGCCGCTTCTGTAAAACGAACGATGAACCAACAAATCGTCGACCAGAGAAGCAGCACTCCTAGAAAACCCGGGTCTGGGGGGCGGATCAGGCGGGGTGTCTCGGATTTGGGGCGTTTCGGGTTGTGGGGTCAAGATATCGACGTCTTTGTGAAGTCGAAGGCTACGAGGTAACCCTAATCCCCATTTACACATCTCCGGGCTTGGGCCATGGTTCTGCCACAGGGTCAGCGAGCCTCTGCAAAGGACTGGTTGGAGCCGGTATGTGGTTTGTTTGCAGGTTTAAGGGTGCTTTTGAAAACCCTAAACCCGAAACTCTAAACCCTGAACATCAACTCCTTCCGAGCCACAGTAGGTGAGTGTAGCCTGATCGGAGAGATACGTCTGCACCGGTATGCAAAGGTCAGCCTGTGGGAGGCGTTTCTTGAACAAGGTTTTCTACTGCCTCAAGACCCTAAACCCTAAACGCTAAAACCGAAAGCCGAAACCATGGGCACTCACAAGTAGGGTTTTAAGAGCAAACATAGGCTAACCTTTTAACCCAATTCTCAACCTGCCTACGAAATCGACCCGTCCCATGCAATACGCAAAGCACCCCGGCCAAAAAACAATGCAAAAAACGATACCCATAACCCACAGCACAACCTCAAAGCAAAACGACGATCCCCACGAGCCACAAACCAAGATCCAAACCATCCCAAAACCGGAAGCACCCTGAACAATCTTTCCAAAACACCAGCACCACAAGTACCTTCCATTAGGGTTTAGGGTTTGGGGTTTATCCTTACCAACCTCCTAGACTGCTTTTTCACTACCACCCTTTTAACGCATGATTTTAATATACCCCTACTTCTATTTCATGGGGCCATGTGTAGCTGATGGCGCCATTTTACTACTCCATGTTAAGAATGTCTCAAGAATATTCAGCCGTCCACTGAGAAACTTTTTCATCTCTTTGGGGTGCTCCTCTGGTTCAATATACAAGCTCCCCTTTCTCGTCACTGAAAAAACATCTTGGATTATTTTCTTGGTAGCCCAGTAACTATATTAAAGTAAGGGCACCCTGGTTTTGGTTGGTTACTTTATCAGGAACCTTGAAGCGGGTAGCACTGGGCTACCAAGCTTTTTGTAGTCCTTTCATTAGTTCGGGAGGCATGGCAGAACCTACATGGTCAGCCCTCAAGTTTCCTGAAGTTTCCTGAGTCCAAAACCCTAAACCCTCTTTGGGTACCCTAAATATTAGGACCATGTTCCCACCAACATCTTCGGCAGCTCTTTGCTCGTAATTGGTATGACAGTAGCGTACTTGGGAAAATCCAGGTAGGAAAGACCAATCCTATTCTGGCCTTTTTGCTGTTGCAGATGGTTCTTACTTGTTAAGACTAGACCCAATTGAAATTCAAAGTGTGTGTGAGGTGCTAGAAGACGATTCTCACCTCTGGGTCTCTTTGAACGCTTCGGTATGGATGGGTAGCCCTAAACCGTAAACCCTAAACCCTAAACCCTAAACCCTAAACCCTAAACCCTAGAGCCTCGCAGAACTCCTTCTTCCTCGCCACGGCAAGCTTCTGCTCAGGGTGTCCTTGGCAACCACCTTGCGAGCCAAGCGAGTCACTTTTGGGGGTGGAGGTTTCCTAGGCTTCGGAAGGAAGCCGCTGGAAGGTTAAGGGTTTAGTTTTGGTGGAACCTTCTTTGGATGTAGGGGCTGTGGGTATAGTACACGAGT